CGGACCTGACCTAGGGTGGATTTTACATTGGGTTTTAAATATTCGGAAGACGCAACATTAAAATTCGGTTTAATTCGGTTTTAAGGGGGGGATTGTATATATGTTCTGGTTTTAAATATGTTGTGCGCCGCCCTGAGTCCCTGTCGGGAGAAGGGCGGCATATAAATTAAATAAATAAATAAATAAATAAATAAATAATTGAATATTACAAGAAGCCAACAGTTTCATGTATCCAGTCTTCATAGTTCATCTTCATGGGAGAATAAATTATCAGTTTCATTATTTGATAAAGATCTTAGCTTTTTTAGTATTCCTTTATTAGAATAGAATTTGCATTCTGGCGTATTGTCAAGACTAATTTGACTGCAGCTCACACAATCACTGTGTGTGTGTGCTTGTGTGTATCAATACTGAATACTTTTCATAATTTAAAAGACACATCAGAGGGTCAGAAAAGCAATTTCTGAAATTGAATTAAGTATCACAATTTCATTATTCACTGCTTTTGGTCAAAACCACCATGAATGGAGAAAAATGCCTTTCATATGATGAGAAAGCTCTCTGTTGATCTTTACATTTTATACAGTATAGTTTCAAGGATAACATATGCTTGTTTATTAAATGTATATGCCAACAAATTCATATGGAGTCATGGTGGCATATAATAAAAATGAAACATCAGTAGCAACATATTTCCATAAAATATGGTCAACCATAAATATTAAAATAGCCAGTGGGTGGGTCACACCTCAAAACAAAAACCACTTGAGGCTTAGAATGTTATGTGAATGTTATGTTATGTGAATAGCAAAAAAAAAAAATTGTCCTTTTTAAATAGACATTATTGAATGGAAGTTTTGTTTTAAAACCATGGGGAGATGAAAATTCAACTCTTAATTTAATTTTAAGCTGTGATTGAGTGAGAAACCTACAACTCTTAATTTTACACTGTGCCTTTAAAACTTTCTCTCGTTTTTATTTGTTTGTTTCTCTCCCACCACAGGTAGTGTTTCCATTAACCAAGGCACAACAAGCAATGGCACATTTACTACTGACTCTACAACAGCACAACAAGGGAAAGTGTTTTTCAGCTCCCTTGCTCCCAGCACTGTGGTGTACACCATCCCAAACACCAGCCAGGCAGTTGAGCCGGTGAAACAGGAAGGACTGGAAACGAGCCTGGTGTTTTCTCAAGTCATGCCCCTTGGTCAAAATGCCCAACTTCATGCTAGTCTACCTTCAGACAACTTACCCAATGGGGTCCTCCAGCCAGGAGGAGCCTCCTCCTTAGTTAACGTGACTATATCACATAACTTTTCCCTTGGACCACCTTCTCTTTTAAATGCAGAAGAACTCAACTCAGCCATTTCTGAGAGTCCACCAATGCAACCCTCCACAACAAGTGGAGCGACTGTTGTTTCCATTAGTAATGCAAACTATGCAACACTTCAGAACTGCTCCCTCATCAGCAGCCACGACCTGGTGTCCATATCTCCAGTGCAGCCAGCGCTAACAGGGATCGGTGGGGTAGCAGGCAATGACATGGGATCCCACCTCTCTTTGCCAGGACATCCCCATTTCACTCGAGAACAGCGGCTGATCCTGCAATCCATTCCCACTCTAAAGGAAAACTTTTTATCTGATTCAGAAAGCAGATCAGTAAGCAGTTCGGTGATGCTGGATTCCAAAACCAAGTATGTTACTAGCAATATAGTCGATGCACTCTGTGAAGAACTGGGGACAGACAAGAAACAACTGGCTAAACTCCAGACAGTACAGATGGAAGAAGATATGCAAGACTTGTAAAAAAAAAAAAAACACCCTTAAGATTAATAATCTTGTATTTGCATTTCAGTAGAGAAAGCTCTTCCTTTGAAGGCTAGAAGCACAGCAGTGGATTTTTCCCCCCATAGGCACATAGAACAATAAAAAATGCATAGTTGAAGAAGAATCCAGTTTACTAAAAGGAGGTCTTCACTAAGAATACAAAGTTGCCATGCAAAGTTTGCATGAATGCTAACTTTTGTTACAGCCTGATCAAAAGGAATTATACATGGATGGAAGGGAAATGCCAGTCAAATATGAGATGGTTTGGCTTACCCAAGTAGCAACTTTGGACAGGGAGAGTTTCAAGGTAATTTCAGAATGTTTATTAACCAATAGCTATTGGTTAGGAACAAGATTTTCTTTCTAAAAAAAAAGACTGGAACTAAAAGAGAAAATGCATACTGTTTTTGGGTCTAGATTCAATTTTACTTACAGATGGTGGGCATTGAGAAAGTGATATTTCAGTTTTCAACTTTAAAGGAGTACTTTAGGCAATACCTCACAAGCTACTGTTACCTTCTTTTGCGAGCACAATTGCAAATACTCTCTTGGGTGTGTGTGTATGTGTGTGTGTTGTTAAAAGTTTTCCACCAGAATACCAATGTTTTGCATTCTCAATTTTTATAGTTTTTGAAATGGTGCAAGTTTTCTTTGTCTGATTTGAACTGGTGGGGGAGAGGAGGAAAACATTTTGCCACTTGAAATTATGCAACCCAGAATCCTTGGCTCTGCCACCTATGTAAATATTGTTTTAATTGTGCTAATGAGAATTGTTTTTATTAGTAGGATGATTCTATTTATAATCATTGGTGTCCATTTTATCATTTTGAGATATGAGCAGTTTAATTTATTTTTTTTTCTTTCTGTATTTTTGAACAGGAAATTATTTCTGCCTAATTTTAAAGATTTCTTTCCCTGATAAAGCTTCATTAATTGATTTTCTTTCCTTTTTTGGTAACAATTTGGACTAGTCTTATGTTTGGCTATGAACAAATGCATTTATAGATTTTAGAACAAACCCTCATGAAAGTTACTTCTGTTTTAGCTTTAGATAATTTACAAAGTTTGAGGATGGCTGCTAATTGTTTTTTTTTTTTTTTTTTAATCCTATGTGCCTTTCTTCCTTGTGGCCTTAAATCCTTGTTCTAACCAGCACAGCTGTTAAGCAGTGAAAGAGTCTGCCTAGAACAGTAATAAATTCCTCCTCACTGGAGGTTTTCAAACAGGCTGGATAGTTATCCTCCAAAGATGATTTAATTGAATCCTGTACTGAAGGGAGGGTTGGACTAGATGATCCAGAAGGTCCCTTCCACATATATTCTATGATTCATCAACATAGGAAAAGAAAAATCTGTCTGGCAGCAATCAAAACAGTGGTCCTAATTCCTTTACATATGCAAGATTCCCTTGAAAACTCAATTACTCTGATAAATAAGGGATGAGATTTCCATACTAGTAGGTGTGAAGTAAATGCAGGATACCTCTGACAGATGGTATGTTGCTTATAAATATTCAAAGTATGTTCCCTTCTTCCTCCGTATTCCATCCCCAACTTGTTGAATTGCAATGGTTTGGCAAAGAGAGATTATGCTGCCATTGATTCAGCCTTTCTGCATGTAGGACGTGCCTACAGGTCTAAGAAAGGATGACTGCAATATACCAAACTCAAAATAAATATCTTGCTTCATCACTTTGAAGGTAATAGGAACCCTTGAAAATCGTTTCTTTTGGGGAAAATCCATTTTGGTTAAAAGAATCTCAGATGTATGAAATATCGAAAGAAATGTTAAATCATTCTGTATTGTTAGAAGTTAAATTTCAGATAAAGAATGCTGGTAGTATTTTAGTATATTGGATTTGGGTAAAAATCAGTGATATAACTGAATGTAAGACTCTCCTCTGACTGAGTGCTTTTTGTGATAGTGATCATGCACAAAAGCATTCTCCCAATCTCATTTCTACCTTGTCTCTTTTTGCAATTTACCAAAGATGAAGAAGAATGATCTAGTCAGGTTATCTCAGGAACCTCTGCAGAAATAGAACAAGTACTTTCCAAATCCACCATATAGCAAGAACCCGAAAGATAATAGGCTATTTGTTTTAAGTCCTTCTTCCCTCTTTTTTTATTTAATGAGGTGAAAAGGATTGCCTTACTAGCTTTTAACAGTCTGCCTGCATTACCAGTTAGTGCAATTTCCATCAATTGAAAAATCTTATCTTTCAGCAAAGGCTGACAGAATGTGCATACATTGGAAGGAAACTTTTGAGGTATGAATGAGTACCACCATGTAGTCGTCTTCTTGAGTTGTTCAATACAGACATCCTACTTGGATCTCTCATGTTTATTGCTTTTCCTGCAGATAGAAAAAATAAGTTTCACGGCTATTTTGATTTGGCAGAGAAATTGCTTTCCTATCAATATCTAATTTTCAAACACAAAAAGGTATAATCTACACAGGATTCTGCTGCATATGTAAGTGCTGTGTTTAAGTTGCTGAAATGTAGAGATCCATCTTAAATGAATAAGACAGTAAGTTAAGTGGTTGCACCTAAGACCGTCCTGATGAAAAGCATCTCTGGCTACTTTCATTTAAAAGAATACAGTAGCTGCAAAACGGGCTGGTTGGTGGTGGTGGTGTAGTAGATATAATTGCTCTGATCAGTAGTATTCCTACTACCAGAGAGAGCCTGAGCCACATAGTTAATTGATCATCTGTTCTGAGAAGAGTAAGTTGTCCTTCTGTATGTGATCTAAATTAATACAATTTTACAGTTTCAGGAAATGTGTAAGAACAGTATCCAAGTTGTTGTCTAGTCTGGTACTTTGAAGAGATTCACATTGTTTCTCTAGTAATATAGAAAACTGCTTAGCAGAATTGTGGAACTCATAGGCCTGTAATTCAGAAAAAATATCCTTTCCACTTTAGCAGCTCTTTCTATTCAGAAATCAGGATAGCTTCCTAGGATTTAAAGGAATCTATTTAAAGGAAAAGCAAACTTATGAATTGCTGGTTCCCACAACCATTTTTGAAGTGAAAAAGTGTATTAGGTAGCAGGCTACTTTGCTGTGCAAAATGTGAGGGGGGGAAATTGCCCACAGGATGGATTTTTCATTTCGGAAATCTGCATGCGCTTTCTGATTGCTATGAATGCATCCTAGAAACTATGATAAAAGAAACCAAACAGGTTTGAAATTCCCAATTTGAAATAATTGTCTTGAAAAAACAGAGATCCAGTTTCAAAAGCACTAAGGTCCTCTCCGAATGTGGCAATCCCACCACATCTCTCCACCGATGTGATTGCATGCTGCCTTCAATACTGTTGGGCCGAAGAATTTCTGGTTTAGCAGTGGCACTGCAGATATTCTTGCCTTGGCCCAGCTCTCTTCCTTTCCCACTTGAGGTTAAAAAGACATCAGGCCACAGCACTGTTTCCCTGTTTTTATAACATGAGGGGGAACCAACTTATGAACACATAATACCTGTGAAGTTAGGAAGCAAGTTGGGGAATGCGTTGGCTGAACACAGGTTTCTGCATTCGCCAGTTCCTTAGCTGAAGAGGATACAAGAGCTGTTCAACTGAAAAAAATCACAGGGCTCTATGAATTGGTTTATGAATGTTTGGAGGTGATCATGATGACTCTGGAGAAAGGCTCTGTGATAAATGATAAATGTCTTGGTTTCATGTATGCATGCTACTTTCTTCCAGGTTAAACACTAAATCATTTTGACTGCTTTTTATAATTATGTCTGTATTTCTGTTTGTAACAATTATGTATCCAAAAGTGAACATCCCCTCATCCAAACCAGTGGTTCCCAACCTTTTCTTCACCATGGACCGCCTTTAAATACCTTTTGTGGCCACAGACCCCCAGGACCTAACTCAACATTTAAATCATAACATTTCTTCAAGCCTTTGTGGACCACCTGTGACGCATTGTGTGCCCCCCCCAGGGGTCCGTGGACTACAGGTTGAAAACCACTGATCTAAACAATTAGAAAACCCATTCATTCTTTTTACATGTTGATAGATAAATCTATCTATACTATATGAAAAACTGGAAGAAATTGGGTGACATGACAAAAAAATGAGCTTTGAATCATATTTTTGTTCCAGATTCTCTCCAGTATACAATATTTTAATTCCCATTCAAGCTACTCCCATATGATGTCATGGTCATCAAAAATTATTTGGAAGAAGTGTTTCACAACTCACAGGAGCATAGCATTAAAGCTATCTTACCTCTTTTCCAGCCTTCCAGGTAAGGCTGAATAAAAGATGACACTTTTTAAAGAGCGAAAATTTATTGGGACACCTAAATAGTCACAACATTTTGCCAGACTTGTATTGACACGTAAAACAGTTGAGTTATTTTATTGTTTAATTTATTTTCTCTGTTATATTTTGCCCAAATGAAAAAGAAAAATTGAACAATTTTGGAATTCCGCAGCAAAGATATCAATAGAGTTGGAAGGAACCATTTGGAACATCAATTCCAATCCTGTGTTTAATATAGAGATCTGGATTAAAATATCCCTGACAACTGTCTATTCAGCCTCTGCTTTAACTAATCCTTCCTTGATAATCGGAATCAATATTTTTCCTACTATGAAAACAAAATGCAAGTTGAACATGTTCAGTAAATTTCTCATTCTCTGACCTTTCTTAGTGCCTTTCTCTAAATCTGTTCCAGTTTATCTAAATCCTTTATAAAGTATTGTGCCCAGAACTGGAGACATTATTTAAGATATGTTGACCAATGCAAAATAAAGAAAAACTGTCAGCTCTTAATTTGGAAACGTTATTCTTTTGATTCGGCCTACAAGGGCCTTTTGTTTTCTTTGCAGTAATATCAGATTGTCTTAGTGTTTCTTATCAATTGTAATTCCAAGATTTTTCTCACAAATAATATTGCCAATACTACACATTTGATTTCTGCTTCGTCTTTACTTCTGTTACATTTCATTCTGTTGTTTTCG